GATGGGAATGGGGAATGGGATGGGAATGGGGATGGGGATGGAGATGGGATATGGGGAATGGGGTTGGGGGATGGGGAATGAGGAATGGGGACGGGAATGGAATCGGGAATGGGGATGGGGAATGGGGATGGGGACAGATGTGACTAATGGGAATGGGAACAGAATGGGAACAGGAATGGGAAATGGGGGTAGAAGGGGATGGGAATGTAATGGGGAATGGGATGGGAACGGGATGGGGAATGAGGATGGGGAATGGGATGGGAGTGGGAATGGGGAATGGGATCAGGATGGAATGGGGAGTGGGATGGGAATGGGGAGTGGGATGGGAATGGGGAATGGGATGGGGAATGGGGAATGGGATGGGGAATGGGAGTGGGAAATGGGAATGGGAATGGGGATGGGGATGGGGTGGAAACGGAATGGGATGGGGAATGGGATGGGAATGGGAATGGGAGTGGGATTGGGATGGGGAATGGGATGGGGACAGATGTGACTAATGGGAATGGGGACGGGATGGGGAATGGGATGGGGTTGGGAATGGGGAATGGGATGGGAACGGGAACAGAATGGGAACAGAAATGGGAAATGAGGATAGAATGGGATCAGAATGGAATAGGGAATGGGATGGGGAATGAGGATGGGGAATGGGATCAGGATGGAATGGGGTGTGGGGCATGGGGAATGGGGATAGGAATGGGGAATGGGATGGGAATGGGAATGGAATGGGGGAATAGGATGGGATGGGCATGGGATAGGAATGGGGAAGGGGAAGGGATGGGAATGGGATATGGGGATGGAATGGGGAATGCAATGGGGATGGGAAATGGAATGGGGAATGGAAATGGGGAATGGGGAATGGAATGGAATGGATGGGGATGGATGGGATTAATGGGAATGGGGAATGGAAATGGGAACGGGACAGGATGGGGATGGGGAATTTGGAATGGAATGGGAGTAACGGGAATGGAATGGGGGAATAGGATGGGATGGGAATGGGATGGGAAGGGGGATGGGGGATGGGAATGGGATATGGGGATGGAATGGGGAATGGGATGGGAATGGGATATGGGGAATGGGGGTGGGGGATGGGGAATCGGGAATGGGGATGGGGAATGGGGAATGGAATGGATGGGGATGGATGGGACTAATGGGAATGGGGGAATGGGGAATGGAAATGGGAACAGGACAGGATGGGGATGGGGAATGGGATGGGAGTGGGGAATGGAATGGGATTAACGGGGATGGGGATGGGATGGGGAATGGGGACAGTAATGGGAATGGGGAACGGGATGGGAATGGGATGGGAATGGGATGGGGATTAATGGGAATGGGGATGGGAATGGACAATGGGATGGGAATGGGGAATTGAATGGGGATGGGGAATGAAACGGGAATGGGGAATGGAATGGATGGGGATTAATGAAAATGGGATTAATGGGAATGGGATGGGAATGGAAAATGGAATGGATGAGGATTAATTAAAATGGGATTAACGGGACCGGGATGGGATCCATGGGCTGAGTGGGAACAGCCTCAAGTTTTCCCAGTGGATTTGGGGTTGGATTTTGGGATCAATTCCAGCCCAGAAAGGGTTTTCCAGAGGGATTTGGGGAAATCCCAAAAAATTGTTAAATCCGTGTGGGTTCAGTTCTTGAGGTCACAGATCAGGGCTGGGAATGCTCGGTTTTGGGGTTTTGGGGTTTTTCTAACCCCACCATCCCTTAATTCCTTTCCCAGGGTGCAGATCTGGGATCAGTTTTGGGGTTTTTTTTGGGTTTTTCTGACCCTGCCATCCCATAATTCCTTTCTCAGGGTGCAGATTCAAGATTGGTTTTTGAGGTTTTCGGGGTCTTTGGGGTTTTTCTGACCCCACCATCCCATAATTCCTTTCCCAGGGTGCAGATCTGGGATCAGTTTTTGGGTTTTTTTGGGTTTTTTTGGGTTTTTCTGACCCTGCCATCCCATAATTCCTTTCTCAGGGTGCAGAGCCGGATCGGTTTTTGAGGTTTTTGGGGTTTTCGGGTTTTTCTGACACTGCCATCCCATAATTCCTTTCCCAGGGTGCAGATTCGGGATTGGTTTTTTGGGTTTTTTGGGTTTTTTGGGTTTTTTTGGGTTTTTTTTGGTTTTTCTGACCCTGCCATCCCATAATTCCTTTCACAGAGTGCAGATCTGTGATCGGTTTTGGGGGTTTT